TGCATTTTGCTTCATGGTTTGTTGCATGGTAGAATCTAGCTTTAGCTTATGATCATTAAAGCCACCATTTGGGCCCCCATTTGAACCACCATTATTCCCTCCTGGGTCATCTGATCCGAGGCCCAAACTAAAATTTCCTCCATTCATTTCATTCAAATTATTATGATCATATTTCTCTTCTTGCCATAATTTTAATAATGCCCTCATTGTGACAGGTATTGAGAGACAACATTGCAAAATTTTAGCTAATTGATCAGTTAAAGCCTCTGTACATTTTGCTCCGCCACTGTATAACTTACATCTCATTGTTGATATAGAACTCAAATCAATTTCAAAAGTCGACACTGTTTCATTGTAAGGTCTTTCAAGAGTAATAGATATATGTTGGCATGTTAGAGGGCATAATTCAAACATCAGTGCTGATTCAATATCTTGTTTGCTATTTGGCCTAATACAACTTGTTATTAATTCATTAAAAAGTGCCTGTTGTCTTAAAATAGCTAATGCTTGAGGTACATGTGCAGGATGTGTAAAAGGTACACGACTTATTAAAATTCCATCTAAACCCCTACGCTCAGTCATAAAATAACAGTGTAATTGGTCCGGCAATGAAACAAAGAGACCCCGTGATGCTGAATCAAGACTTCCTTTTGAAACATGTTGAGTTATAAGACTTAAATAGGATGAGTAGTCGTAAGATCTCCTATTTCTAATCCAGTTATTTGTTGAAGTCTTGTGGCTAATGCAACACATAAAGGCATAGGTTGATGTAATCGTAAAACAAAATGAGCTGGCAGTTGTACACTTGTAGTTGGACCAAGAGGAGCATAAGACGGTGTTCTGAAAATTGAGAATATTTGTTTAACTATGATGAAGTATATAAGGTAATAAAAAATAATAAAAATGCAGCAAAGTAGAGAGATTATAAAATTAAAAAAGTCAAAGTATAAGAAAATATACAAAATGAAAACTAACCCTGGTGGTCTTCCTTGAGTGACAATAGAAACAACTTGAAGATCATGCATTGTTGAACCTTCAATGCTGACAGTAACACTATGACCAAGAGATTTAGATAATACATTTTCCAATGTTAATGGATCAAAGCACTTTTTATCTTTATTTATAAGTTCATATGGAGATATAAAATATGTTAACTTCATTGGATGACCTAAAAAGTCAATTTTATTTTAAACCAAATTAAGAAATTGTAAGCTTCTTTCTTATTTATTATACCTCCTCGTCGCTTCTGTAAAGCACCAACTGAACATCTAAGTATTATCGTAACAGGATTCTTTGGAAAATTTTGAAGTTGATAAAGTAATCCCAAATCAGTCTCTAAAGCCTATTAAAAAAATTATATAAAAACACCATCACAGTATGTTTAAATTATTAGAAAAAGACTATCACCTGCAGTGCTACAAATGCTTTTGCTTTTAATTTTTTCTCTGCATTAATTTGATATAAACTAGCTAACCCTTCCAATTGACTAGCAAAATCATTGAAGTCTCCTTGGCTAAGGCATCTCACAAATTCTTCACAAGTACCAGAATTCTATAATAAATAGTTTGTAGTTAATATCATGCATTTCATACATGTCTTAAAATTGTTTTACCTTTCCATCATGATTTACTTTCACATCTTTAACTGCACCACTACTCTCTAATAGTATTTCTAAATAAAACATTTCAGAAGAAATAAATAACTCAACACCTGATGGCCCAACCATAAATTTTAATCTGCAAAAATAAATACAACTTATATATTCTTTTTACTCGCTTTAATAAAACATAATCAAGATCCTTCTCTTACCCAAGTTGCCTCGTGAGACTCTCTAATCTCTCAACAAATCCTTGTAAAGATGTAACTTTAATTTCATGTTGCAATGCATCTAAAGTTTTTTGCAATTGAGATTTTTCAACAGAATCTAATGAATGTCTTTTATCCTAGAGATACATAAATAATATAATAAAAACAAATATTTTAGTTGTTTAGTAAGCTTTATCTACAAATTTACCAATAATCCCATTCGCACACTTTTGGAGTATCTTGAAAGCTTTTCAATTGACTTGATCTTGATCGCAGCCGCTCCATAAATAATTCCATGTGCCAGGCTTTGGACCTATCACTTGTGGAAAGAGATGGTTGCCCCGGAATCATATTTGCTAAAAGAAAAATGAATATGTTTTTATCACCGCAGAATATCACTGTTGTGGATAATACAACTCCACGCTGAAAATATTAGTTATTTTGAAAGGTTAATACACAAACTTGAAAATTGTTTTGATACAGCAATTAAGTGTACAAGCATGAAATAAAAACTTTACTTTTAACAAGTTATTATAAGAAATATAACATTCAACTAAGTTTTATTTTTTAAATATTAAATTTAAATCTATGGAAACAATAGAGATATAAAATTGTTATTCACGACAGTAATATAAAGTTTATCATGTTCAATATTATTAATGAGGATGTAGAAAATGAAAAATATAATAAGTAAGGCTGGCATAGAAGATCTTATACATACACTGTATATGTATAATACAGGTGTTATACCTTTTTCTATCGGTTTTAACTGGCTGCCAATCATGATGTTCATTATTTGAAATAGCCTATTATATACACTAAAAATCTATAAACATTCTAAATAAAGTTAAAAATCATATTTACACACTAATAACACAGTAACACAAGACACACAACCTAGACAATATTAGAATATAATATTATTCATTTTTTGACACCTCGTGAAGTACGCTTCATTTGGCAACAAAGATACACCGTACCAACATAAAGAAGTGAATTCTGGTACATAATGACAGTTGTGACCGTTGCTCTTTTTTTTATGTTCATATTTTTATTTTAACAAGTTAATGTGTATTTAATAGTCAATAGGATAATATTAATATATTCATATTCCGTTATGTGCAATCATATCAATTACATATTGTGTTCTATTATTCTTTAGAGTCATAATATTATAACGTGAATGATTTTGTACTGGCACAGCAAGAATTAACTTCCCGAAGAAGAAGTTTATGTTTACATTTAAAAATCGATGTTTTTTCGACGTTTCAAGCTTCTGAATCGAAGAGACCAAATTTGCAAAAAAGTATGTGTGTGTGTGATACAGATTTTTTGCCGTAAATCAACGTTTCATCTAAAACGGCTAGACCGATTTCAAAAATTTAGAAACCATTCGATGCATCTTGATGAGGACTAGTGTTTTGCGCGACGATCAGCCAAACCGTTTCTTGGTAAGTGGCAGAATAGTATACTCTTCTTTTATCTATGGTCCATGTTTTGGCACGCAATTCTGAATCAATTTTGAAAAATCAAAAATCGTTCGAAAGATATTGGCTGGAAATCGACCTGATTAGTTTTTGGTAAAATTCAAAATATCAAATGTTATTTAAGGATATCATATATTTTTTTCATATGAGTCATTTTTTATTAATCAAAATTAGGCACTTTTGTTTTCATATGATTTTTTTGCTTTTGAGCATTGTATAAAATTCTATTCAATTTTCCTCATAATCAATTCGAAAAAAATAGCACTTGTTCGATTGTTTTCATAATTTTTGTTAATTTACCTATTAATTTTCGAAAAAGCGGGAAAACCCGGACAAAAGATCTGAATCCGCGACAAATATTGCTTTTAAAAAAACCCGGGACACAAGGTAAAAATCTGATGGGAATGTCCCGAAAAATTCGTGGATATATAGCATCGTGCCTTAAGGCAAATTGCTGGAACTATCTAAAAAAACAATCGTTTTGTCAATATAAGCGAGAAGTCATTTGAATCAAATCGGATGCTTCGTTCTTTAAAAAACTACCATTTTTTGCACAATTAGATCCAAATCTCCAAAACGGCTAGACCTGCCTTTGCCAAAACCTAATCACCATTTCTCCCCATCATTAACGATTTGAATGTTTTTGAATAATTCAAATCGGTTGATCCGTGCTCTCAAAATCGTCAACAAAAAATTGTATCTGATGTATGTGGGTGTGTATATATATAATATATATATATATGTATGAGCAGAAAAAAAAATTACGACGATTTCGGAAGCACTGATTAACCTATAGAAAACCTCATCTTAGAAAAAACTCTAAAGTATGCCCGTATGTTGATAAATGTTTTCAAAAAATCGTGGACCGTAGTCCACGGTTTGAGCTTGATTTTCATATTCAAGTAGTAAGTTCATAGTTTTAACTTGACACTATTCAAATTGAGTCAAATATGTTTTGAAAAAAAAGTTTAATTTTGTCTATTATTTTTTATTAAAATGTTTTTCATTAATTTATGACTTAATTTTATTAGTTAATCAAATAAAAAATAATAGTTTTCTTATCAAACTTTTATTATTTACATTCTGATTTTTTTCAACATTTTGTTCCCTAAGTATCACCTATCAAAATAAAGATTACATATAAACTTATCTTTGATAATACACATTTACATTGATCTATTGCTTTATATTACAGTATTTTAATCTAAAACACAACTTATCCATTATAAAAATATCTACAATAATATATACGAATATATATTCAAGAAAATAACAAAAAAATTATATATATATATATATATATATATATATATATATATATATAGACAATGATCTTTCTATTTATGACAAAGTTCAAGATAAGACAATCAACAGTAATGATAATGATTTAAATAGTCACATTTGACTAGATGCATATATTTTATATCATTTATTTTATTTATATAAAAATATGTGTTAAAATTAATGAATTAGATAACTTAAATTTACCATTAAAACAATACTCATATTATTCTATCTCTTAATATAAAATCAATTTATAAAAGTGATTTTTGTAAAAATATTAACCTACTTATTAAAATACAAACCTAGTGAGTGATAATATATTTGGGCTTATGCTTACATTTTATTCAAACAATTATGTGAAAACATTGTTATAATTATTTCAAGTTTTTTTTTACAGTGAAGCAATTCTAATATCACGATCGCATTTGCCCAAATATACAGTCATGTTAAAATTTGATCTAATCGATTCAACAAATTATGGCACCATTCTCTTGAAACCCACTCCATCCTATAAAATAAAATAAAATAATATTTTAATCAAAATTCAAAATAAGTGTAAATAAATAATGATAATCTAAAGTACTAAAAAAACCTAAGAAATAAATGAATTTGAATTAAACAAAGTAGTAAATATAATCGAGTCAGTGCAAGTCTTATTCTTCGATTTAATTTTTTCAGCATTCACTCTTGAATTTTCATGAATTAATTTTCATGAAATAATGGTAATAATACATGATAATATGATATTTTTATATCAAAAAAGCGATGTAATGATGATATTTCTTTAGCAATTCACTTCAACTTTAGAACATATGCTATTAATAATATACGCCATAACTAACTTCATTTATTCATTCACGATAATTAAATTAATTAAGCAATAAAAACTTGATATTTATCTTCATTTAACATCTCGTTCTCTATAAAATTCTTAATCCCTATATATTACATTTAATATATTACTTGTATATCAATACGATATCTAAATTTGCTATGTACAATATTACTTTAACTGATCTTAGAAAACTTAAAAAATGTGTGAAAAAAAATCGTCTAATAGTATATAATGATAACTAATTGATGAATGATGAATTAATATCACAAATATAAGTTTCATTTTAGGTTATTTTGCAAGATTAACTACTTATAATAAGACCAGTGTCATAGATAATAAAAAACAAAAAATACAGGTCGTTATTTTTTATACAAATCTCTTATTCCAGAGCAGTATGAGCATTAAGTATGTTTGTATGAAGATGTGTCTGTGAAGGCTAATGTTAACAACAAATGATTGAATGTTTTCTCGATTGTGTTATTTAACGCTATTGAAATTGACTATTGATTGTGCATGAATATAATAAATCACGCCTCACTTTTCCCAATTTAAGTTCTTCATATAGAGACGGATTCAATTCTGTTGCTGTCGAAACTTGAAGTGTCGCAGTACCATTATTCCAATTCTGCGAGTTACTGGTTTCTGATGATGACACAGCAGGAATCTGAGATAATAAAATAATTTTATAATATAAATACGATTCTAATTGGCTTATGTATCAATATTGTGAAAGATCAACACACATCTACAAAGTTTTAAGGTGGTACGACTTAGGCAACCATACGCTATCCTTGGTACCTTCATTTCAATATTTTTTACTGACCTGTACGTGATCTGGATTGCCTTCGCGTAGATAACTGGGATTTTCAAACGCGACGCCTCCAGGTGCGTTTTTACCTGCTCCGCGCCTCTTTCCACGATACCAAAGTGCTACCCAAAGAACTGCACCAGCTGCTGCAAGTGCCAGGAGGGCACAACCCACACCAACACCTACGGTGGAACCTGCATCTGCTCGTGAAGCAGATGTAATGTAGTTGTCGTCTAAAGTGAATTGAACTGGTCGTGACAGCATACTTGTGCCTGAAATGATAAGAAAATTTATATCCGTCCTATAATTAAATGTATATCTATTATTATACTACAACTCACCATAATGATTACCAGCTTTGACAACTAACTCGTAGAGTACATGAGATTTCAATCCATTCACCATCATATTGGTGAAAGGTGTGTCATTCCTATGAGATCCTCTTTGAGATTCTTCTCTCCAAAATACACGATACATTTCTACTGCGTGTGGATTTTTGATTGGTGGATCCCAACTATTTTAAATAGAACAAATCATTTATTAATTGCATTCAACAAAGTGTACAAAAAGTAAAGTATAAGTATAGAAGTATTTAAAGTAGTAAGGAAACTGAAAGCCAAAGCACAGGGCCAGGAAGCTTGGAAGCAGAAGTTATTAAAGAAAAATGCACAAACGTGCATAAATGATAGCAGGGAAAGGAGAAAATCATTTGATTTGTGGTGCTCTCAAATCATGGATCTACTTAAGGCAGACTACCATTAATTATTATTATTATAATAATTTTTTGTACACTTACTGAACTTCTATCGCATCCTCGCTAAGTGGCCTAACAGCAACATTTTGGGGAGGTCCAGGTAATCGATCCCGTCCTTCTTGGAAGCATCCAATAATTTTTCTGGTGCTATGCAGAGAACAAAATGATCCTGGAGCTCCAATGGGTTCACCACGACACCAATCCAGACAGCCACGTGGAACACCAGCTGACGCGCAACAATTTCGATGATCTGAAAAATAATAAGAGAAACAATCAGAAATAAACACTATTTCCATCGCAAATCCTTCGCAGTACAATTTGAATAAAAATCTTCCAAAATTGTTGACATTTTAATCCCAAATTTTACCAAATTCACCAATCTGGTAATTATATTTGGTTCACTAATCTGCCATCATTTTTTTATCAGAATTGTTGTCTTTGTTAGAAAAATAAATAAAGAAAAACAATAATATTATCCTACCTGATCCATCAGCTGCACATTTCATAAGCTTATCAAAGTCTTTCAGACACTCTGGTCTATCAATAACCGCTTCAATATCTAGATAGAAGCCGCAGGCATCATTGCAAGCTGGTGAGACGTTCTGTTCTCGGCAACATTCTGTAACATTATGACCAGCAGCAGAATTGCGAAGCCGGACGCTGACTGGACGAGTGACTGCTCCTAAAACGTTTTCGGCGTGACAATAGTAGTCTCCTGCATCAGAAGCAGTTACGTGTGCGATGGTTAAGGTCATGATGTACTTCCATTTATCCTGGAAATAAATAAAATGCTGGATAAAATAATAATGGTAACATGTTCGATTCGCGAGAAAAACTCAGAATTATCCATCGATATGACTGTAAATCTACTTAAAAATATAGTAAATAGATGAATCATTATCAATTTCATAACATAAACCATCATAAGAATATATTGTACGATATACTTACATCATTATCCTGTTTAATATTGATATCGTATCTTGGTCCTTGAATTACTGGAATACGACCTTGATGATCCCTCCAGAATATGACCTAAAAATATGTGAAAATTTATGAATATTTAATATTATAATATAATTATTGGAAGTTTGTAATAAAACTTACTTTTGGTTCAGGTTGACCACGCACAATGCATTGCAATGATACAGTATCTCCTGGGGCTGCCACAGTTATACCTCCGGCAGATATACGAGGAGCAACTAGAAGAAATTTTTTTACCAATTAATGTTGAATTTTATATTTGTAGATTCAAATAGTTATTACTACGTACAACTTATATTGATTCGCCTCGAAGCTTGCATGGGTGTTCCATAACCGTTGTCAGCATAACAAGAAACTTGGTCCATATCAGTAGTAACATTATGAATAACAGTGACCATGTGCCTGGCAGTGTCTTGTCTTACTAAGGTACCACCCACATACAATGAAATTGTTGGCGTCGGGACTCCCATAGCTATGCAAAGAACTGTCATGGAATTTCCTTCAGAAACGAGGTCCACTGGGTGAACCGTTGGTATCTGAAAATAATAAATAAAATTATAAGTAATTAATTAAAAAAAAAATAATATGCGTGGTGGTCCATTGATGGATCGATTGGTCACGTTTATGCTCCACAAAATTTGAAAATGAATACATTGTCTATTTTGGAAGATGCTGTTTCTCAAGAAGATCCATGTGATAAGTAAGAAATTGACAGGCTCACTCAATTGAATAATTTTTTGCTGCAGATTCATTGCCTATTTTTTATATAAATAATAGTACCAACCTCAACAAAGGCAGGGAAAGCTGGATCAGTCCAGGCAACCAGTGTTTCTGATGGAAGTGACGATCCTCTTTTTGATATAGCAACGATATAGACCACATGTTGAGTATTTGGTTGTAACGAATGCAATTCATGAGCTGTTAAAGTTGTTTCACTCATATTGAATGCTTGAGCCATTGCAGCTTTGTAGTAGATTCTAAGATGATAAATGTATTAAACTATCATATACTTACTTACATTTTTTCTGAATAAAATTAAAATAAAGTGATTAGACAAGAAAGTATGAGAAAAAAAATTGAAAATATTTTATTTATAATTACTTGTAGTGAATTTGATCTTCAGGATGTGTAAATTGAGGTGGCTGCCAAGCAACTGTCAGCCAAGTAGCACTCCTTTCAGAAACTGATAACGAATGAGGTGGCGATGGTACACCAGCCACTAATTGCTTAGCGTTTGATCCTGGATCTATTGAAAAGTTTATAAATATAATACATAACTTCTAATATATCTGCATATTATATACCATATTAAAATTTACCTGCGTCGCTAGAGGTATTTATAAATAGAACAGAAGATGGTAAAGACGTTCCATTTTCATTTTGTGCAATGACAAATACTTTGTACAAGGATCCTGGTTGTAAACCTGTAAGCCCTATACTGGTGTCATTTGTAGCAATTTGCTGAAACAATAAGAATTATGTAATGCAACATGCTGTATACAATTAAAATTATTTATTACTATTTGCTTACATTCTCTAACTTCAAAACCGTCTCATGTAACGATACTTCATCAGTAAGCCCATAGTGCACTTCATATGTAACTTTGGACTGTTTTTCTGGAGTTGTGTTATTCTCTCCCCATGGAGGCAACCAGGCCAATGCTATACTTGTATTTGTAGTTGTAACAGCGTGCAATTCTGATACTGGACCAGGAATATATTCAGTACCTGAAAGAGGATAATGTTAAACAAACAATAAAAACATTTTTTAAATTATCCTAATAAATATCTCAAAATTAAACTGGTTAATTTGTTACTAACGATACTACACCATGCATATATCTACAACTTAATGGATTTTTAAATAATTTATTAATATAACTAAACTTATTAAATGTTTGTACCTTCTTCAAAACATTGGACAATATTTCCAATATAAGGCAAACATTCTGATGCTGTTACTCCTGGTTGAGAGCCAATCACACCTCGGCACATGCTCATACAATTTTGGGGAACTGCTCTTCTTGAACAGCATGGTGCTAAAACAAAAATTGCATCAGTAAAAAAGTGAAAAAAATTAATTTTCTGCCTATCAGTTGTGCCCCAGATTGTGAATAAAATATCACTTTTTAAATATTATGATTTTCTTTCTATCACTTACTATGGTCACGACCGCCAGCAGCGCATTTTACAAGGCTGGGAATTTGCGTTTGGCAGGTGTTTCCGAGAGCCCTCAATTCTGACATTTTTGCATTATAAGTACACAAACCCATACACTGTTGACTTACGCCATGTCCCACACAACATGCAGTAATATTATATCCTATTTCTTTCGAATCTTCTGCGATCTATAAAGATAAAATATCAAAAACATTCAGAACAGTGAGGGAGTAAATTCATGATAATATTTTTTTCATTACTTACTAAGGAATCAGTTCTGAAAACTAATCTTGGTGACGGAGATCCAACTCCGTGACTATTTATGGCGGATATGAATACTTCATAATCTGTTCCACTCCTAAGTCCTTCTAAGACTAACGGTGATCGGTCCTGAAATAGATTACATCACCAAAAACTTGAAAATACATCATAACTTCTACAAAAGTATTTCCATATTTTGTACAAGGCCTTTACATTGGTATTTGCAAAGAAATGTTTATTTTGGAATTTTATAGAAACAAATAAAGTGCAAATTATTTAAGCATCAAGATAATGACATATTTTTTAATTAACATTAATATTAGAATATCATTATATTTTGAATGAAATAACATAACAAAATTATATAAAGAGTTAGAACAAACCTTTTCAATGATTCCAAATTCATCAAATCCGTTGAGCTCTCTATAATGAACGTGGTACATTAAAACAGTGTCGCCCAAAACACGTGGCGGGTTCCACCTGATTACCGCAAAAGTTGAGGCCACGTGCGGCGCCCGAAGACGAGAGGGTGGTCCAGCCAGCACCCCGTATCCTTGCAGTAAACAACTTGAATAATCACTCATGTAACGTAGACATCTAAAAAAAAAAATCAAAATTATCAACATTCATAGACACTAAAAATTATGTAATGGTTAATAGACAAAATAGTACCATATCTATATTATATCTACCTCCATAATATTATTATTGTCTTATAGTTATTTAATTAATTTATACATAATCCAAGCGATTTGTGTCAATCACATTGAACTTACTTGAAGTAACTAAAATCTAGATTTGTTATATTTCCATGGCACAGCGGAAGACATGAATTGGGTATTCCTCTAGCTTGACAACAAGGCGAATGATCAACACCATTTGCTAAACATTGGAAAGTAACCCCTGCCCATGGAGCGCACACCATGAGGTCCATTACCTATAATATATTTCAAATTTAATGTTTAACTTATGTGCTAATATATCACAGTTAAAGTATTGATATTTTTTTGACAAAAGTAAAAAACTTAAATTATGGTTATAATATAGATAGATACTAGTTAGATAAATTCACTGATATGATGCAAAAAACGATGAATGGCCAAAAGACTGATATAAACAACATTGAGGCAAAAGGTTATGAATAAAATAAAATTTTAATTTCCATTATCTTACTTCGACTACATCAGCTTGTTTGGGATCGCACATTCTGTCCAGACACGTGGGTTGATTGACACCATGCTCTACGCAACATTTTCGGACATCTGGTAAATCTGGAGGAGCTGAAACATTTCCTTCTGCACTGGCTGGTGAGCTCAGTCCACCTAACAAAGTTAAACTGCGCACCCCATAAGATGGTAAACTAGAGCCATGAGAATTGCGAGCTGTGACAGTTACCTGAGCAAATTGAAAAATTCAATAAAAATCACTGTCTTAAAAAAAACAATATTTTTTTCTATCATTGTTCAGTATAGCATATTACTTTTATTAAATTGTGACAAATATTAATGGTCATCTTTACCTCATACATGGTGTAGGGTGTGAGATCACTCAATACTGTAGAATTCTGAGCAGCTGGAACTCTAGTCTGTATTTGAACACCAGTAGACGTGGGTTTTCGTTCTGCAGGATCGTACGTCTCCAAAGCGACGTGAGATATGATGTATTCCTGAACAGTACGAGCTAATGAGGCTGGTGGCTGCCACGACACCCTGATCGAGCGCTCGGTCAGAGGTTCCAATTCGACATCGCGAGGTTGACCGGGAAGTAGATCTGAAAATAGAATTTTTTTTATATCACATATATTAATAATATAACTTTATACTTTTGTACTATATGAAAAATCGTATTCGTGCCCCAACATATCTGACAAAACCATTGATTTTGGTCCCGGTGGACAAAGCTAATAGAACACCCTGGTGTACCGTAGGGACATATTCAATCATTTATTCTAAATAGATGCTAATACTCACTGACTCCTCTGGATATACAGGCCAGTGCCGGTTCGGTGTGTGCAGCACACGAGACATGAGTGCGTAAGTGGTCAGTAATGGGGGTATATTGACCCTTGCACACGTCCTGACACAGGTCCGGAACACCTTCCCGGGCGCAACAGGGAGTATGGTCTCGACCATCGGCCATACAACTAAAATATTAATGGAAATCTGGGTATAAATCAAAATTTAAAAAGGAAACTTGTGTACAATTATTGATTTTTTTACTACGACAAAAGTTAAGAATAGGTATATAGTGTAGAGCGGGGCTTGAAGGTCCGGACATGAAAAGATCTACTACCGATATCTCAAAACAAAAGTTGAAAACAAGTTAAGTTAAACAATTTTTAAGAGCAATATTTGCAAATAGAGGGCAAGAGATGTATAACCAGTTATAACCTTAATTCTTGTTACGTCGCTACCAGGAGATAAATAATAATTTTTGAAGATCCTAATTTTTTTACCTGACTATAGCTGGGAAATCTAATTCACAGGCCTCTGGTTCTCTGCCTGTGCTGCCTTGAAGAATGTTCCTCACTGAACAGAAACCCCGACATTCCACACTCACGTTACTCCTTTTGCAGCACTCCGTGTAATTGTGGTCATTGGCTTCTTGCTCCTTCTCCTCCTCCATGAATTCTTGTTCAGAAGACTCTTGGTTCATATCGAATTCGGTTATATTTTCCGGAGCGAAGGACGCACTCACGTTGCCCGGAGGGTCCAAACCTCTGAGAACTACGAAAACATGGATGGATAAAAATAGATACATTTTTGTAAAAGATTCAAATTGAACCTTTTGGGCTTTGCTATAATTTATAAATTTTTAGGTTTAGATATGTAACTTCAAATTACATACAACCATTAGATTTATACATGAATGAATGATATTAGTACATTTTGTTGTTGACTAAAATTAATTATTAGAAAAGATAGCTTATACGACAAAAGAGTGAATTGTATTTTATTAAAATTTAATATGGAAGAAAAAAATAATCAATTATATGGTAGTAAAATCTTAATCAGGTTTTAATAAAACAATCTAGTGAGAACTTGATTAAAAGATCTGAGAACCATCATCCAAATTTAACTACAAATTTAGTAAGCAATAATTACACAATCATTTAAAACTTATTTTTTTCTGCCCTTATCCGTATCATGTATCTAACTTGATTAACATTTAGTACAATATTGTTTGAGATAGATTATTTCTTAGTTTGTTTTTATGACAAATATTGATCTTGAATTTTATCAATTTATTGCTGAATCATATTTATTGGTTTACTTTGTGTTTACTTCTAGTCCAGTGATTTAAGCTTAAATTAGGTAAGAATCTCGGAATTCGAGATACCCAGCTGTAAGTCTGTATATACTTGTGTATTGACACCTAAATGGTGTCTAAAAACCTACATATGGTAGAGTATTCGCAACATATGTAGGTTTTGAGACAACTTTTAAGTGTCAATATACAAGTATATTTATAGACTTACTGCTGGGTACCTCGAATTCCGAGGTGAATTTATTTTAATGACTGGTTTATTTATGGACAATATCAAACAAAAAGATTAGGGTTTTATATTGGCAACATTTTTAATTTGTTCTTTGATTTATTTTTTTATTATATATCAAAAAGCAGAATTTCAATTTTGACTTCTGTTTTTTCCCAACCTTTGGCCTAGGATGAGTA